TCCTGAGGTCATTTTGCTGTGGCCACCTACCCTTGAGTCCCTGTTGGGGGGCTCCTGGGCTCCTTGGTGCCCCCTCTTTTGCAGCCCCAACATAAGGCAGATGATGGAACTTCTTCAGAACCATCCAGGTTCTAACATCAGGGAGGTGTGGGAGGGGAGACCGGGACTTTGGGGGTGCCCAGCGGAGTTGGCAAATGATGAGAAAGGCACGAGTCTTATGCCTATTTCCTACGTTTTCCCAAGGCTCTGGCATCACCATCCAGACAAACGTGCTAATGTAGTCCCTGGAAAATTGTTGAGAAAGTGGCACTTTTGGAGGATGTGCTGCAAGGGAGCAGGTGTCCCTTATCCAGCCAGGTTCCTGAGGGTGCACCGGGGGTGGTGGAAGACTAAACCGGGAGGTGAAGGAATAGAAAATGGGTTTCCCTTTACGCGAGACGGTGAAATGAGAGCACATGATTTTCCTTAGACAGATTATTTCAGTTTAGACTTCTCTACGCTGAACCCTGACCCCGATCTGAGGTTCCTGCCCCTCCCTCCTCACCCGGCCAGTTCTCAGCGTCGGCCTCTTCCACCTCATTTCCTCTCATTTCTGTGTACTGTTCACTTCAGTTTGACCATGTGGATTAGGGGGCCCAGCTGTGGGATGGGACCCAAGGCGGGGGTCCTGTTTGTCTTTGTGGGGGTGGCAGAAGCCCCTCGGGAGCTGGGTCACCCCTCATCACCTCTGTCCTCCTTGCTGCCTTAGATCTGTCACACTCTGACAGAAAAACTTGTTGCCATGACGATGGGCTCCGGGGCCAAGATGAAGACTTCGGCCAGCGTCAGCGACATCATCGTAGTGGCCAAGCGGATCAGCCCCAGGTGAGCGGTCAGGGCTTTGGCCCCCACAATGCACGGGGGCAGGGAGGGCCACGCTTAGTTACAGGCGGGGCCAGGCTCCTCCGGGAAACTACACAGACCACGTTAATGATTTATGTCCCGAACACCCCCAGGGCATCCAGCAGGGGCTGGGTGGGGAGACTTTCAAGCTAAGGTGTTTCACACCATCCCCCCACCTTTAGGGCGCTTTTTGGGAAATTCCAACATATGACGAGCACTGACTCTTCTACTCTACACATCCCACTGTGGCTGCAGGGC